CCAACTTTACTGTAAATTATTCAAATGATCGACCATCTTCCAACAAACAGCAGAACCCTTAGGAACACTTTTCAAAAAACAGCCTCGAGCACGTCTGTATACTGAGACAAAAAAATCAGGCGCCTCCGAGCCAACAAGGGCTAAAGATGAAAAGATTTTTAGGAGTCCAGCACTTCAGTTTGTGATTGACATGATGAACGGTTTCCCAAAATGGGAAACATCAGAATGGGCCACAAAGGTCAAAGGGGGCCTAATTTTTAATTTTTTTCACTTGAATAACGTTGTTGCAAGATTGTAGGCCTGCCTGTAGCAAAGAAGGTGTAAAACATGGCAAGGGCAGAACCAACACCTTGTGCTTAAACACGTCGAAGTCGCTTGCGCGGAAAGCCCAGGAAAAGCCACCCGCTTAAGCAGCGATGGGCGGTTTCCGCTTCGCCAGCTTAAATATACGGGGTTTTCATTCAAGGAAAAAGGAGAATCAGCTACACCGTCTACTCGAAGGAAGGGAGATTGACGTTCTAGCAGTACAAGAGACAAAGATAGAGAATGAGGAAGAGGTTGACCGCGCTTTACCACTTTTTTTGAGAAAATACGAGGTATGTGTCAGCCATGCTGTCGGTCTTTCGGGAGGTTGTTTCTTGTTTATAAAAAAGTCAGTCCAGTTAAGGGGACTAGCTCTGACGGTTGACTTGCAGGGCCGCTTTGTAATGTGTGATTTCCGGATGCAGGAATGCAGGTGGCGGGTGTATTTTGTGTATGCACCAAACGACCTGAATTCTCGAGTTCAGTTTTTCAATCACTTGCGCTCATACAGGGTGTGTGATAGACTAGTTGTTCTTGGAGACTTCAATTGTGTTTGCGATTTAAATGACCGAACGCCGACCAGGCCCCATCTTGGTAGAAGTGAACAATTATTGCTCGAAGTAGTCGAAGAGGGAGGCTTGCTAGACGTAGCCAACTTTCGAACAGGAACCAGACTCATACAGTTCACGCACTTTCAACGGGCGTCGCATGCAAGACTAGAAAGGTTGTATTGTTCTATTGAACTAATAAAACTTTTAAAGGGTTATACTGTAGAACCTGTTTTATTCACAGATCGCTGGATGGTTCCGATAACGATTGGACAAAAACGGAGGAAGCATAAGCACATCGATTGGAAACTTTGGAAGCTAGATTCTCAGCTGCTTAAAGGCGAGTTTTTCGTGTCCGAAACGCGAAAATTACCTAGACAGGGAAGTCAAAACGGGGAACACATTTTTGCGAGGTGGAAAACCTTTAAGCAGGACGCAAAACAGTTGGCAATTGAAAGAGCAAGCACGCTTAATTATTACAAGCACGAAAAAAGTGAAAGCCGTTTACAACTCCGTGTAACGCCGAATTGGAGCGCAGCTCTTGAGGAGGAGGAGGGAAGGGTACTGAGGGGAGGGTAGACCCCTCCTCCTCCTCCTCCTTCCCTCGGTCTTTAATATGCTCCGGGGGGGTCACCTGACATCGGGGGGAGGGGGTCACGTGACCTCGGGGTGGGGGGGGTCGCATGACTTGGGGGGGGGGGGGGCGGGGCGAGGGGGGGTCACGTGACCTCGGGGAGGGGTCACGTGACCTCGGGGAGGGGTCACGTGATCTCGGGGGGTCACGTGATTCGGGGGTCACGTGACCTTGGGAGGGGTCACGTGACCTTGGGGTGACCACGTGAGCTTGGGAGGGGTCACGTGACCTTGGGGTGACCTTGGTTACGCCGACGGCGACGACGACGCCTCTCAAGCCGAAAACGGGCGCCTAAGAGCTGCGCTCTAAAAAAGGAAGAAGAAGAGAAGGTGCGGAAAGTCACGCAGTGCCTGACCGTGTCACACACGACACAACACCGTCTCACACACTTGTGCGTAGCGCGTGTGTTTTTCCTATGTCCTTGTCTTTTTGTGCGATGTCCTGTTCAGTATGTCATCATACCTGCTCGCCCAGCTTACTTCACTTCTGCAGTTTATTTCTTGTGTATCTAGAGTTCTCTTTAGTTTTTGTCTGCTCCGTTGTGGGTACTGAACTGGAATGCGGAATAGGAAAAACACAGGGCTGTTTTTCCTATTCCGCAAGGAGGAGGAGGAGGAGGGTAGACCCCTCCTCCTCCTCCTTCCCTCGGTCCCCGGTTACGCCGACGCCGACGCCGCTCAGGCTGGAAACGGGCCCCTAAGAGCTGCGCTCTAAAAGAAAAGCAACTCCAGCGTGACTTGCATCTTTTATACGAGCTTCAATGCAAAAATCCTGGCTACGGAACCAAGGACATAGAGTACATAAAAGCTCAGTTTGACAGTCTTTATAAGGAGCGGTACGCGGGCGCGGTCGTGCGTTCGAGGGCAGAAAAGTTTCTCTTGGAAGAACAACCCACAAACAAGGCGTTGGAAGACGAAAAAAGACACGGACAGAGTAAGGAAATACTAGAGATAGAGCAGAGAAACAGAATCGTCACTGATAAGGAGGAGATCGAACGCGTCTTTCTTGATCACTAGCGAGCACTGCTGATCTGTCCCGTATTCGCAGACGATACCGAGGGTCTTGCAAAATTGATAACGTTACTACCGCGGCTGAGTGAAGACTGTGTTCAAACCGTTGAAGAACCGATTAGTGTGCAAGAAATTGTGAATTCTGTGGACGCTCTCCCACAAGGAAAAACACCGGGATCCGATGGGATAATCGCTGAGTTTTATAAAGTGCACAAGAACGAGATTTGTCTCGTGCTGCATGAAGTTTTTCAAGAGGCCTACAAGGCAAACGCGCTTCGGCCTTCGTTTCTACGGGCACACACGGTGTTTATTCCAAAAGAAATCGACAACAACCAACGACGCTGCGTGAAAGGGTACCGCCCGATAACATTTGTAATGTGGACTACAAGATATTCGCAAAAGTACTGGCAAACAGAATACAATCTATTATTTGTGAAGTAGTCGGGGAACATCAAACATGTGGGATAAGGGGTAGAGCAATGCAGAGCAATATTCACATGGCCCGAAGTGTGTTAGACTGTGTGTCTGGAAGAGGCGACCAAGTGGCAATGTTGCAAATCGATTTAGAGAAAGCGTTTGACCGCGTTCAGTATGATGTCCTTTTTAAAATACTGGCGCATGTAGGCGTTGGAAAGATAATATTACAAGGTGTTAAGATGTCATACACCGACTGCTATACGAGTTTGGTACCTAACAATAACGTGACGGAAAGTATACCAGTCTATTCTTCTGTGAGGAAAGGGTGCCCGCTGTCCCCCTTACTTTTTTTTTTTTGTACCTCGAACCACTGTGTCAGAGCATAATCCAAAGTTCAAATGTCCGAGGATATATCCTGCACAGCGTTGAAACCAAAGTCTTGGCTTATGCGGATGACGTTGCGTTTTTCTGCACCGATAAAACGAGTGTAAGCCACGCCTTACGGTTGACGCACACTTTCTGCAAGGCCACGGGTGCCTCGGTGAATTTACAAAAGTGCAGGGGCTTCTGGCACGGAACGTGGGCGAGCACGCCCGAAGTTTTTGAGGACATCCAATGGAGCTGCACTCCATGCAACTACCTCGGTGTGCAACTGGAGAGCCACAGAAACAGCACAACCTATTGGTCAACTGTGGCAGCAGATATCGACAAGCGCTCCAAGCGCTGGATCCACCGAGATCTGTCGATTTTTACGAGAGCAACTATGTGCAACGTTTTTTTAATTGCCAAGCTTTGGTATGTGCTACAAGTTCTACACTGTGCAACGAGCAACATACAAAAGTTTCACCGTGTTTTTGCGGTTTTCATGTGGACTTCAACAAGAAGTCCCTTTTATTCGCGAAGTCATCTAAAACCAGCTGGCATCCTTTATCCCCACTTTTGTTGTGTCAACCATTGAATATCACCCACCAAGACTGGTGGGATACCTGAAAGAGGCTGTTCAGGCCTTTAATTTTCTAGCAGTCCGTTTTTCTCGGGAGTACCTCGCAACTGTGTCGAGGAAAAAACTAACGCGGGACCTTGTTGATATTCTCTTCCCAAAGCCAATATACCGAGTCTTGTAGAGAAATCACCCCGGGCACGATGTGCTGTGTCGTGTAAAAAAGATCGGAATCCCTCCTAGGATCAAAACATTCTTTTTCAAATTACATTGTTCTATTTTACCCACCAAGGTATGGTTGCAGGAAAATGGTATCTTTGTTCCATGGACTGTAAACTGCTTATTGTGTAAGGAGCCAGAAACTGTGGAGCACATTTTTATCAACTGCTGGGACGCAATTTTTTGGGGGGATGTGTTACAGAGAACTTTGCGCAAAAGCCTAGATATAACACCGCATTCCATTCGTTTTCTGCCCGTAATGCCAGGGGACACCCTTCCGTACCACCTCATTATGCTCCTTAGTTTATACAACATATGGAAATCCCGAATGGACGTGCGAAATGCCGTTCAGACGCCGAAGTCTGTGCACTGTTATTTCATTCAACTGGTAGCACAAGTCACCAGCGTATACGAAGGTCGCGACACAAAGCCAGATTGGGTACGATTGTTTAACAAATTGTTACAGATGAAAGAACTGTAGTGATAAATGAGGGACCTATTTTTGTAGTGCGATATTTTTGTTTGTTCTGACTCTCCGTTTTTGTTTCCCATGCAATAAAAAAAATTGGAGTGTAGCGTAGTGGTTAAGACGTCTGCCTCGTAAGCGGTCCTGAGTTCAAACCCCCGTGCGGGCGTACGTTTTTTTTTTTTTTCTTAAGTGGGCCGATCCCGGAGGCAGTGCAATCGATGTGAGCACAGATGCCGGACAGAGGGGCAAGGCTAAACCCTAAGGAGCTTTGCCATTAAAAACAGCTGCCCATGGAAACGCAGTGCCAAGTAGTGAGAGTGCAGCACATCTCACAACTGTAGTTTTTGAGAGCTAAAAATAACACAAACGACTCCTAATTAAAAAAAAAAAAAAAACAGTAAATCGCAAAGCGCAATTCAGTACATACAACACCGAATGGTTTCCGATCATTGAGACGCAGATTCTCGGAACGCGGCGTGTCTGGAAGCGATCCAGAAGGCTGCCCTCGTGGTGTGCCTCGACGGCGGATTGGCAGACTTGGATCCCTACGAGGTGGCCTGGCCCCGGCAGGTATACAAGGGCGGCCCGAACGCCGAATATGCAGCCAATCGATGGTGGGACAAGCCGGTTCAGGTAAGCACCACGACGGGTGGTATTCAGTCAGAAACCATCCTCTAGAATAGCCCGCTACTGCGCTGGAGTGCATGGGAATATTCATCTGCACGAAGCACCATCGCGGACAAACAGATTATAGCACCCGGCCGATGGCCGTTGTGTATTTCCAGCGCCTTGCGTGCGCGGAACTGGGAGTGCGCCGTGCATGGGCAGAGAGGTGGACTCGGCCCTCCAGCTGGCGACCACGCCACCACGTGGCAGTCTGTGAGAGGAAAGCGGTTGATGCCGAAGCGCTTTTCGATGTTAAAACCAGCTGTGTCCTCGATAGTACCGACATTAACCCTTTTTGAGTTGACGCTCGCTAATCTACCAAACTGTTTGCCTTAACCGCGTTTCCTGCGATTCGGACGCTGAATAATTATTTTGTTTATTCCTTTTCCTAAACTTAAAATCAATTGCTGTAGGCCCATTTAAAGCAAAGAAAAAAAAAAAGCAGTTTGACATGTTTGTATAAGCAACAGAGCGAACATCGTTTAGAAATGTATCATACATTATCAGTGAACAAGGAAGCGGTAGTTAATTAGAGAAGAAATCTAGAAATGTGACGTTTAAATGCATAAATAAATCGCTCTATCATACAAAAATAGCACACTTCCTAACCGATCTGCCGAAACACTTTCCCAAGCTAGTTACACATTAGCTACGGCCACTTCGCACTTACTAAAGTCTCTGACAAGTTAAAAACGACGGGATGGAGCTTGAGTTGTCACGCCCCAGAGCGAACCTCCTACCTTCGACAAAGTTTTGGCATCTCGTTCATACCGAGCTCGCGCAAAGTCGAAGCACGACGGAAGGCAATGGGCGCGTCCTGGAGGCGGGGTCGTTAATACGCGCCTTGTCGTTGACACTCGGTCGGAGGCCAAAAATACCAGACACCATGAAATAATGAAGACACCGCGAGGGGCATACCTCAATATCTGAGCCCTCCCTCTGTTCTGCTGAGACTTTAAGCTTGAGGTGAACGCAAAAATATACCTTCTCACTACTTCTAGTGTTATATTTACATTTGTAATTGCCAATGCAGCTCACGGCACATAGCAACCTCATGCTCCGTGAAACAATGCTCAGAGTGTTTTTTTTTTCTTCTTCGTTTTTCGATCCAGGTGATTGTCGGGGAAGACGGAGGGTCCGCGCTTCTCTACGACCACGCAGCCTTCGACGGCACCGCAATGGCTGGAGTCACGAATCACTGCTACGACTACGCGTGAGTCTGAATTCTGCGGAAATCGAATGCTTCGTTAAAGATTCTATTACGGAGCACAAGTTCCTCTGCTTCTTGTACAGGGGTTGCGGTGATGTAAAACAATTGAGCTCTTATTGGCTGATTGAAAAAATAGGGGGTAGACAGTAAGGCATTTAGCATGGAGGTCTTCCCACTATACTTCCAATTGAAGCCAATCAGATCTCGGCGTCGTTCTGACGCCACCGAAACTCCTGCGCAAGAAGCGGACGACTTGCTCTCCTTATTCACTTTTTTTTTTTTTTGCCGTAGCAGTTACGTCTGCTAGGAAGGTATTCTTCTAAAATAAAAATATCTGATAATTTGTTTGAACGTCCTGTCGATGGAGCAACTACACAGATTCACCGAGAGTGTCGTAATATTTGGAAACGGATGTTTCTAGACATATACTTCTTTTTGGCAACGAGTCCAGCCTCAACGAACGCTCCGATTCAAAGCAGCCAATCAATCAATCATCGACAAAAGTGCTTTGTCAGGACACTCGTCGTATTTCGATACGCATGTTTTAAGGAGCTGAGCCAACCAAGCGCAAGGCAGGTGCCGTGACTCTGAATTTTGGGTTCCGAGTTTTGGGCGGGTGTTTGTGTCTTATAAGGGGCAGTTCACACGCTTGCAATCAAGTACGACCGAGAGGGGCGAGATCTGTTCAGAAATTTTAATTATTTCTTAGGATGAGGGAACACACTGACACGCTGGTGCCATCTATGCGGTGACCGTGGAACTGCATTTCACAGGATCGAAGGTTTAGCGGCATTTCCGAGGTCAATTGTGCATAATACGTGTGAAAAAGGCTGGTTTATAACGTTGACAAAAGATTTTTGAGCCAAGAATGAAATTATAATGCGCGAGAAAAAAAGAAAATATTCCGAATCGCCAAGTTTACACTGCTACTCAATAGATGGCGCCAGTGTGTCCTCTTGTCGTAAGAAATATTAAGAGGTTCCAAGGCACCCGGTTCTAAGAGCTCGCAAGTGTGTGAACAGGCCTTAACTATCCGCTGCGCTTGAATTTTGGAAGACACGAAACATGTATAGTTATTGTATACATTGGGTTCAATTGTTAAATTTCGTAACTGATACGAGCACTGCCCAAATGATGAAATCAATGATGCTGCAGAAATGTTGTTACATAACGGAAAAGTCCGTTGGTAAATCGTCAAGTGATTTTCGCCGAACAACCGGCAATAGTGTTTCGTATGGTCAGTTTCCGGCCATACGATTTGTGGTGAATCTCCGTCAAGCACCGACAACTTTCCGGCGCTATTTTCGCCCGAGCTCCGAACGGCCGGTTGAGGAGGCGCAAGACTGTGTCGTCACCTTAGAAATGGGGGATGAGGTCAGTGAGAAAAGATGAGCGAAAGAATTCCACTGATTGGAGGGCATTTCAGCAGCCAATACTCGACACAATCTAAGGCGTGGGGCAATACCACGAAAAAAATGGAGAGCACGGGGACACCTTTGACGGGACGGCGTTGAAAGCTTCAGTGGTATATTGCGGGAAAGCGGCAAAATAAACTGCCACCGTCTGGCGTTTCAGGGTCGGGTGCCGAAGGTCACGTGATGTCGATAATTATACTTGGAAAAGGGGAACAAAGGGGACACACACAAGTCCCCAAACACAGCTGGGTCACTCCGTCGGGCACCAGTCACCCAGCTGTGTTTGAAGACTTGTGTTAGTCCCTTCTCCCCTTTGTTCCCCCTCTCCAGGGATTGTCGTAATTTTTGTCCAGCTCGCTTGCACCTTTGCATTTAATTGCATTATAATCACGTGATGTGCCGCCGGCGCGTTTCTGGTAGCCGGTGGCCCTAAATCTTTCTAGCAGCCGATTGACCACCCGAATTCCCCGCAAGAAATATTCTTCTGAGACCCTCGCCTCCACTTAATAATGTAATCGCACAGCACGCTACGAGCTGATGGAACTAACCAGACAGCGTCAAAACCACACCGTCATGGTGTTCGCTTTCTATATGTATCTGTTTTATCATCGCTAAAAGCAATCATAAACGAAGAAGGCCCCCCCTCATGTGCGCTTTTGATGCTGCTTGATTGGTCCGAATTGATCGTAGCCTACGCTGCCTCTGAAATCAAGCTGAAACGAAATATGGGTAATACATTTAACAGCACAAAAATATTATGCCTTTGACCCGATATATTTTGCGTTGATCAAACGGCTGGACGCGTGCGGCCTCGCTGTTTCCCTGTTTGAATCGAAAGACGGGGATGCCGGCCATCTAGGGCCGCGAAAAACCGTCGAGACAGCGCAATCATCCTCCTCTTCTGTCTTTCGGTGTGTCTGTGCGTCAACGGCAGCCCTACCGCACGGCGCAGCGCGACAGTAGGAACAGCAAGAAGCGCGCGGCGCGTCTCCTCGACACTGGCTCTCCCCGCCCCTTGGGAACGATTTTTGCGCTGTAAGCTTGCTGCAAGTGAGCAGAGTAGAATGTCCTAAACTATTTGGGATGGCTTTCAGGGCCCGTTTGCTCGAAGCGCTAACCGCGGCTAAAGTTAGCCGCAGTACCTAGGAGAGGGATTTTGAGATCACGTGACTGGCTCGGTAGGGATGCGGGGAAACATGGCGGTGCCCCAGTGAGTAAGCGCCGGTCGCTTTGGAACTAATATGTCGTTGTAGCTGCAATATCGGGCGCGTTATTCAGCAACGAATGGTTCAAGAGGCTTTCGCTTTGCCTTACCTCACTTAAACCGCAAAGAATGGGCAATGACATCGCTGCATTTTTTAGATAGTGTTTTGATTCTGGGCATTCCTAAGCCTAAATAAACGCGATAATTGTCGGCATGGCAACGTCTTTGGAAAGCGGATTCTTGATAGCACACAAAAGCAGACAGCGTCCCGACAGACTTTTTCCTAAATTATCCAAGCATCGCGAGGAGAATGCTGGAAGTGTAATTCTACGGTTCTCGCGCGCTGGCCTTCCTCTTATAAAACATTTGAAGTAAAAAATCATAATAAGGCTTTAACGAACGCGCGTGCAAGGCAAAATTTGTTTTATACTTTTTGCTTTAGAACGGTTACTACTGCAGACGCCAGCACGTGCGACGCGTGCAACTACAGTAGTAGCATGCACCTCAGTGCTTGGATAATTTAGAAAAAAAGGTCTGTTGGGACGCTATCTGCTTTTGTGTGCTATCAACAATCCGCTTTCCAAAGACGTTGCTATGCCGACAATTATCGCGCTCATTTAGGCTTAGGAATGCCCAGAATCGAAACGCGGTTTAAGTGAGGTAAGGCAAAGCGAAAGCCTCCTGCACCATTCGTTGCTGACTAACGCGCCCGATATTGCAACCACAAGGACAGCTCCAAAGCGAGCGGCGCTCACTCACTGGGGCACCGCCATGTTTCCCCGCATCCCTACCGAGCCAGTCACGTGATCTCAAAATCCCTCTCCTAGGTACTGCGGCTAACTTTATCCGCGGTTAGTGCTTCGAGCAAACGGGCCCTGGTGTCTGACCTTTGTCAAGCTGTTAAGGTTGAGAAAAAAATGAAAGGCGTTTAGAGTTCTCTTTCAGGCCGATTTAGAGCGCAGCCCTTGAGGAGGAGGGGAGGGTATGCCCGTGTGATTTCACGAGGGTGGCTTGACTCCTGACCCCAATGACGTCGCACTTGACGTCACTCGTGACCCTCATGACGCCACTGGTCACCTTTGTGACGTCACTGGTTACATTTGTGACGTCACTGGTGACCTTTGTGACGTCACGGGTGACCCTTGTGACGTCACGCGTGACCCCCTTGACGTCGTTTGCGGCGCTCGTGATGTCACTGGGGACCCTCGTGACGTCACTGGTGACCCTCGAGACGTCAGTGTTGACCCCCGTGACGTCACTCGTCACCCTCGTGACATCGCGGGTGGCCCTCGCGACGCCACTCCCCACGCTCGTGACGACACAAGGGTCTCGTGTCGTCACTCGTGGCCCTCGTGGCGTCACACGTGACGTCACTGGTGACCCTTGGACGTCATTTTTAACCCTCGTGACGTCCTTCGTGGGACTTCACACATCACGGCGCGTGTGAAGTTACGTGGTTACGCCGATGCCGACGCCGCTCAACCCGGAAACGGGCGCGTAAGAGCTGCGGTCCAACAAAAAATCTCCTTCCTGAAACAAACTGCTAGCCACGGCGGTTATTACTAATAGCAATAAAAAGCAAAAAAGAAAATTAGGTAAATAATTAGCTATAATTTACTAGTCAAATGTATAAATAAGGAAAATAAACATATTCCAATTCGAAACTTGCTAACGATCTTCGAAAACCACGAAATCGACTAATTTTATGAGTATAGAAGAAAAAAGTACATCTTCCAAAAAAAAAAAAAAAAAAAAACGTACACTTTTGAGTTTAGAAATGGTATGTTCGGGCTAGTTGGTTTATGAGAATCTTGGTTTAAAACAGCGGGACAACACAAGGACAAAGGAAAGACAGACGACATGGCTGACAATTTTCACGCGCGTTTTGTGCTTTGTTCCCTCTCGGAGCGCACCTTCGCGCCAGCCGTCCTGCTCCCCGGTTTACGAGACGTGGAACAGACGTGCCTCATACTTACCGGCAGCCTACGGGGGAGGCGAGACGGTGCCTTCGCGCCTCGCTCACTCGGGAACAGGACTGCAGCCACACAAATGCGCTGCGATAATGCACCAAAATCTAGAAACGCTCCCAAATGGAGCGTTTCTTTGGAACCCTCTACAGTGGTGCCCTTGCCTTTTATATTTGTACAATTAATTGATTTAGTGTTTTAGATGATGCTTAGCAAGTTTCTCTTTGGAACCATTAGTTTAGAGTTACTAATTTAAAACGTTTCTGAGGAAATTATAGTTAAATTTTCAGATAATCGATATGTGCCTTTTCTTTTTTTTCCTTTATTCAATACTTAACTTCAAAGGCGGCTGGCAATTGTTTTCCGGACACAATAAATGTTTTGTGTATGTCACAGGTTCGGCTGGAATAGATCCCATAACCAAACACATTTGTAATTTGAATTGCAACGCTGTCCAGGTGATAGGGCCACACCTTGGCGATGGACTTCCTGAGAGGCGAAAGGAATTGATAGCAAGTTGTGCCTGGCGTTATGAACACTCTTTAAAAGCAACGGAAATCGAAAGTAAAGAATAGGTGCACATAATCGGGAAAAAATAAATAAAAGAACAGGTCACACCTTGCGAGCTTTCCGCTCTTCGTAACTGCGACACGAAAAAAATACAAAGTTTTTGAAAGCGTAGCAAACTGAACCAGAGCCAAATCAAAGACGCCATACGGTTCGGAGAAGAAGAAAAAGGAGTTTAGTGAGGTTCCCAAGATGTCGGTGGGGGTCCGGTCCCTTGCACCCCCTGTCGAAGACGAAAAGTCGATGTGGCCAGGGTGCGTACGGTGCCGAGACAGCGCTCACTCACAAGCACACTCACATCGTTAAAGACTTGCTCGGGGCACACCAACCATCCCGAGAAAGCCTTGGTCGGGGTTCGACCACCCCGCCGCCAAAGCTTTGCTTTGCGCTCTACCAACAACCTCGCCGAAGCTTAGCTCCGCGTTCCACCACCACCACACGCACGCGGCTTCTCCTTTTTCTTTTCTCCTCCGAGCTCCTGTCCTAAGCGCTCGCGCACTCCACTCAAGACTGATGAAAAAAAAAAAAATAAACATACATAACAAAAACACGGTCGATTCTGTGACACTACCCGCTTTTCAAAAAAATAAATCAATAAATAAATATTCTTGCATAAATAAAAATAAAAAACGCTTAAGAATTCAACGCACACTATACCTTCATGTTTTACGTCCGACATTTCTCAGAAACGTCCTGAAATCAGGTAATTAGTAATATCTATTCATACAATATTTAAATATATTTCTAGTTCGATCCAATTTGCTTACTGCATATTAGCATGTTTCACCGTACATTATTTTCTTTATAGTATAGCTCTACTATCGAGTGATGTAGTCAGTCCCGACATTTGGAAACGTTGTGATACACCAATATTGACTGCAAAAACATGCACATTCAAACTATACCTTTGATCACATTACACAAACATCGAAATTACTTCGCGCTCCAAAATAATTTAGGAGTGCTGCAAAAATATTCTACTATAACACTTTCCAACTCGGCTTAATGCCTTAGCAGATAGAACCTCAATCATTCCACTGATAGGCCTAACCAGTTTAATAGCAAACTCTCTCAAAAACAAGCCCCGGGAGACTTCAGTTACTTCCTTTCCAATCGAATCTCTAGAGTATTTTTAACACCCAAAAATACAGAACAGCACAGCTAAAGTTAAGGACGCAAAAAAACAGCAACACAGAGTTCATAAAAAAACGCAGACACATACAATCGTTCAATATAATACTACGAAAAGCTGATCCACTTTCCAAGGCAATATTCTTTTCATGTGTTGAACCAGTAAGAAAACAAATGAGAATAACCTGCATCAATTGTTGTACGGTATACTGGACACACATGGCACATCGAAGACGTTTCCACATTAAGTGGCTCACGGTCGTGTGCATACTTGTCCTGCTGATGCTTTCTCAGATCAACAGCAAAAGGCACTTCGTTTCTTGAACTGTGTGCGCTGCTCCTTGAAGCTCTGTGCGTCTTTTTCAACAGCCTACGTCTTCGAACGCTGTTCTTCTTGACGCAAACAAGCTTTTCGCTGTGGCGTTGAGCAGCCAATCTGTCACTTCTCAACGCTGAGGAGTGGACCATGTGGGCGTTATGATCATTTGTTCTCTCTGCTGGCCGAACATTCTGCCTGTGCCAAAACCGCTTCACAAGAGCTGCTTTGTGAGAGACTCGGCTTTTACACAGACCCCGGCTACGCTGGGAGTCACCTTTTCCTCGAAGCTTTTTCTTCACCTTGTGGTTCAACACGTTTCTCGGTATACTTGCTTTCGTTGCAGGTTTGCTTCTAATGACCTTCTTCCCTCTACGTTTCTTGATTTTTACCACAACTTGTGAGCCTCTGCTACCTTTTGGGCTCTTATCACTTGTCATCTCTTGAAAATCAAGACTGGCCACCCCCCTCCCCCAACTCAGCCTTTCCATTACTTTCCCAACCGTCACCAGCTCGTACCCTTTGTCTAGAAGGCCCCGTTCTGTTTCTTGACACTCTGGCTACTAAACGGCAACGATCACTGGTCCTTCCACTTGTCGACATGGCAACTGTTTCATCCGAAGAATACTGGACCTCCTTGCCCTCTTTGATTTTATCTTTAATCGCTGCAAGTCCAGCAGGTTTTTTCATCACCACCTCATCCGTAGCTTTGCCTTTCCTGATCCCCTTGACTTTCACATCTCGCTCACTCTTTAGTGGACCCTCTGAGTTTCTGCAGCTGGATATCGTTCCGACACGGTCGAAGAGCTCATTGAGACTGCTGTATTTTTTTTTTCTGGCGTAGCATGTTCCTCAGGCTTCTCAGGTACACCTTCATTTACGGGCACTTTCAGCAGCGTTACGTTCTTCTTTGCCGCCTGGTTCTTGGAGCTTGGCTCCGCGACTGCTTTGGCAATAGTCCCCAAGCCTTGTTTCTCATCAAAGAGGGAGCCGTCTTCCGACTTCTCCGGTTTATTTCAGCCGGCCTCCGGATCACCGGGAGCGCGCACGTTAGGGAGGTTCCCCAGAATCAGATCAAATAAAGGGTTCTTCATTCACTTAGCCAGGGCGTTCAGACTGTAGAAGGGGCTTTCAACATACACCCTAGCCTGAGGCAAGACCCTCGCAGTCGTCATTATCAACATCATCACTGATGACGTCATCAGCGACGTCACTGATGACGTCATCGGTATCCGCATCGTGATCGTCACTGATGACGTCATCAGTGACGTCACGTGACACCAAGGTCACGTGACTCCAAAAAGGTCACGTGACCCCCCGCCCCCCGAGGTCACTTGACCCAGCCCCCAGTACCCTTCCCTCCTCCTCCTCCACAAGAGCTGCGCTCTAATTCGGCGTTACAGGGAGTTGTAAACGGCTTTCATATTTTTTTTTATCACTCCTTTCTTTTTCTCAATCGGCAACGCACCGCTTCACACTTTTGCACGGAGTTTTATCAAAAATTAAAACCCAAGAGCTAAACATATATTAAGTAATTAAATATCGCTTACCAAAGGTCTTGTTCGACCTACAGACGTTCACAACGGTCACAAACTAGCCCGACTACAAGTTATTCTACAGACTTGCGAATGCGCGTTCTCTTCAAAAGAAAATACGAGGGCACATGCACACAAACTGCAGTATGTCGAGCATTGGTTTTTTGTAGTTCTTCCGCTGCAGCAGTTTACGATTTCTGCCACATGAAGTGACCACCTCTAAAACTGGACACAAGTTCACTTGCTTCTGTAGCATCGCGATAATCTGACGTTATTTTCTCCCAATGAAACGAGAAGTTCCTTCTAAACTTCAACCAACTCCTCGGGAGGCCAGGAATGGCTGAACGCCATTGTTCTATATTTTTAAGTGCGTTTTTTGAATTATGTAACTGCATTTTTTCGTGTAGAAACAAATGAACAAGCTTGATCAAGCCACAAAAATGTAGAGCTGGTCCACTTCGCGAGCGGAAGCATAACTACGGCATTCCCTCCGCTAAATGGAGATTGATACGTCGAACCGAATAGCGATTTTCGTTCGATGATTGATTACCACGGGACCAACACGTCACCGATTCCTGCGATCCGCGCGTCTTGCGCGGACGCGACAACTGAAATAGTCAAGCACCCTTTCATTCGCGGATTTTCGACGAAATACTGACTCCAAAAGTGTTTCGACTAGCAAGAAAACAATTTTGTTGTTGTTGCTGTTTTTAACAAGGAAAACAAACATGACGCGTCATTTTTGGTTTTCTCCATTCGCTGGTTCGTTTTGCTGAGCCAATCTTGGGGGGGGGGGGGGGGGGGGGGGTTTGGCGGGTGAAAGAAGCTACAGGGACTTTGCTGGGCTGACGCGTCTCATGTTTTGGTTTTATTTTACGACTCGCGAGTATTTGGCCAGAAAAAGAAATAAAAATACCTTTTGCCAGCACAGTCTTTACGATAAAATAGCTGAATAAGATGAGATTTTAAAAATATTTCTTCAAATATATTGTTAATCAATATCTATATATACATATATAGAGATGTTGGCTGGCCGCTGTAGATGAAGCGCTCGGTGTTTGATTTTTTTATATGCATATGTACTAAAATTGTGTCGTTAACATAAATGCCGAATATTGCAGCCAGAAGGCAGGGAGCTTTGAAGCATCTGAGGACGGCGCGGAAGCTGCTCCTCACAAACTGGAGTTTGTTATTTGGCCCGATACATTACACGACATAGAGAAGGCAAAATCGTTCCATGCAAGGTCAGTATACAAGCTGCAAGACCAACTGAATGTCAGATTGTGGAGAGCAAGATATTTACGGACGGTTCACTTTTCGGCCTGCGATATATCAAGCAGGAACACTCATGGGAATATCAAGCATCAGACAAACATTATTTTAAACATACATCAACTTTTTAAGCACTTTAACTCCGTTCTCGCAAAAACAAAGTTGGCCATGGAATCGCACACCTCAGCACACTGGAGGCATTAACACGGTTTTTTATATCCTTAAAGATCCAGAAGATTACCCAACACATGTATACACTATAGTCTATGCAGTGGCGATAATGTTTCTTAAGCTGTAAAGTGAACTGGAAGCATCGGCGACTGGGCATTGAACGCTCTAACCTTCGCCAAATGTGCGGCTGGATTGTGGATTTCAGTGTTTACACTTTAAAAATAATTATCTTCTTTTTTTAGAAATGGGATTAAGAAATTTGAGTCAAATTGATAAATGTTTTTTGTTATTTCTCGATAGGCGAATCAAAAAGACAACGCACTTCGTTGTCTGCTAGGATCTGCTTTCAGGAGATGCCACCATAATTTACAATCATGGTTATTTATAGTTAGCGATCACGTCTGCCGTTTACTTGGGGAAGTGTTTTAGTGCCATTTCTTACAGAAAGAGAGCCAGGTCTTAAAACTTCACAAGATAAAATTCACTATCCTCCTGCAGATCTGGTGACAGGTTGAGTGCTCTAAATTCAGGCGGCCATTTGTTTTGTTTGTTTTACAACCTACGAGATACTGGCTTTACTCTGGCTATTTCATTTCTCAGCCGAAATGTTCTTACGAAATTTAATTTATCTTGCTATATTTATCGCGACCATACAGTAGTCTGCATTAGGTCGTAGATGCACATATGTTGCACTGACGTCACTCGGCAACATATAATGATCGAAAGGACACGAGTTTCCACTGCATTAACGATGCTCTTCTGGACATCAGAAAGAATCGAATTTGGTTTGTGTAAAGATGTATTAAAATTGAAATTTTATGTTTCCTATGTTCACTCGTTCTGATCTGACCTTTCTCACTTTGTCAGAAGGGAGATTCATATTGTTCCTCAGCAGCAGTTCGCGTAAAGTGCTACCTTCAAAGAAAGAAAAAAAAAATTGTGTGCGTGTGTGTGTGTGGGGGGGGGGGGGGGTCGGCAAAGGGCTGAGATTACTGATTTCGGATGCTGTATTTCATAATAATGGCGGTTAACACCACAGATATGCCGGCGGTACTGAAAGGCTCTTCTATCGATTTTCTGACTACAGCAAAACGTTCGTCCAGTCTTGCAACATGAGTCCCGATGGCTACGCGCAGATGGCCATGCAACTAGCGGCCTCCAGGTAAGAATACGATTTCTCGCGCGCCTAATGAGTTTTGCTAAAATGAGGGTTACGAATCAACGGCGTTACTTTTTCTTTAAAGGGGCGGGGTGCTTCTTCGGGTTTAGTTTTCTCAAACTAATTCTGCTCTTTTTTGTGTGTGTACCAAGCTAATAGTGAACGTTTATCAAAAATTGTGTTGAAGAACTGGAGCATATGATTCCCTAGCATCTAGAGAACATGCTTTTGTCCCGAATCTGTCCCGCAACCGATAAAATGGGGATCAAGTTAAGGGTGTGGTTCCGAAAAAAAAAGTCGCGTCAATGTGGGCTGAATTCCGTTTTAACACAAAGTGAAACAGTAAGTAGTCTTTTCTTCCCTCGAAGTTTGGGATTTTGCGCTTCAGTCTCACGTCCAATCAGGAGATTTCTGTATTCGGAAGCACATCAAGGATCAGGCTTGTTCAGAATCATGCCCTTTATATCGTTTTTTTTTCTCTTATCGGTGTTCAGATCACGGGCATGTTCCCTGGGGATTGGGAAATTCCATGCTCCAGTTCCACTTTCTTCAACGTAATCCCTTTAAGCACCGACCGTTTCCTCGACGGCGAAAATCTACGCTGGAGAACAATGAATCTAATAAAAAAATAAACACTATAAGAAAAAGCTTTTCAAAACTTGAATAAATTTATACCCCGAAAACGCGGCACCTGGCCTATAAACGTTGGCTGACACATTTGCACTAAAACTATTATTTATGCCACTTGTGACTGTTTACAACATGCTGCGTCGCAGCGCCATCGGTTGCAATACTACCTACCGATGCCACAGCCTTTGATCTATAGGTGGCAGTTTCGTTTGCTTTGTTACTGAACCTTGGACCTCTCGAGATTTCAAATAGCTTATATATTAAACTTTTGAATAATAAAAATGCAAAATTATACAAATGGGTAAAGATAAAATCTATTTATTCATTGTTAAAACATTTTGCGTACGTCGCTGCATCGCGAAGTCTCCGAAACATGAAGAAAGAGAAGCCCTAAGAGATTCCTAAGGTTTCGAAATTCCCTACTCCTTGGATGTTGGTGACGTCACGCCTTCGAGAGTTCCGGCCTTGTCTCTATGCTCCGTTTCAGTTTAAGGGATTTTCCGGTGACATACGGAACTTACTAAGTTTTTCCGCTGATCACATAAAAAGGTCCTAAATATCTTGAAATATAATATTTATTTCATTTACGGACGCCCAATATTTGTTAAATGAATTATGAACATTAATGCAAAACTGCACGCAAAATTTTGCGAGAATGCATGGCTGGTCTTGTCGTGACGTCATATCAGGCATGGTAACGTCAAAAACGTGAGAGATGACTTATTTACTGTTTTGATTTACTGGCTTGACGACGCGTACAAACATTATCGTCGAAAAATTGAGCTTCCATCAATAGAGTAAATCTAGTCTTTCTTAGAACAAAGTTATTTTACCGATACAAGCGTCAAGAGCTGTCGTGGTTCTCTTTGCATGATGTCATGTCAGAGCTTCTTTGCCGTTGCAAAGGAAAATTCTGTGTTTTTTGCGAGTGCAATCTGAGTGGTTGTGATCTCTTTAAAATTGAATTGCTTGCGCGGCGGAGGACTAAAATTCGGATAATCTGCGGATGATGTTCCAAAAAGCAATGAAAATATAATGTCATTGTTTTCTGAACGTCAACATCTCACCGGATATTCCCAGATTTATAGCCCGCTGAAGTGTATCCGTTTGTCGTGCAAGCAGCGTCAAATGCGCCAGTACATGATGTCTGCGTCTCGAGCGGTCCTTGGAAGCAAATGGCGTTACACCACTGAAGTGAACGGCCCTTAGAAGCGAATGGCGGAACAGCACCCGTTCGTGGCACGTGTCTTGCTCGTTTTTTAAAAATCGTTGGCGGTACCTGTAACAAACGTCTTTATCAAGGGGCTTGAGTCCGGTTGCAGCCGACGTTGCGAGCTGATGGGGTCAACCAGGCAGCGTCAAAACCGCACCGTCATGATATTTGTCGTTATACGTTTTTTTTTTGTTTTTTTTCTTTCTTTACTCACGTCACGACACATCGCCTCGATTTCAGGTGCTGTTAACGTGAGACGTTCTTTGTCTAGGTGTTCAAAATTTTGAGAGGCCCAGCTAAAATGTGGCCGGGAGGCTCGACACTGATTGGTTAACTGGTGGCAGAGGAGGAATGACGTGCTCCACGCTGATTGCTTTAGTGGGGAGGCCATGTGACCAGAGGGGTAGGCGAGGAGGAGCTCGACCACCTGTCCTCACTGTGGCAGAAGAGCTCGCGAGTATATAAGGCGCTGGGAAATCGCCAGGTTTTTCTGCCCGATATGTGGTAGGACCGCTTCATTTTAGGAACACCTATCAGGCGTACATATGGTACGCCTTGAACTGTCTGATGAAGAGCGCAGTGAACACAGGCATCTGGCGTCCAGAAAATCAGAGTAACGCTAAAGTGTGTCACGCTAGAACGTTTCACGTACGCCAAAGTGTCGGCTAGAAATTATTGTCTCTTTTGAGGTCCATGTAAGTCAGTATCACTAGAACACAAGGCCTGCGCATGACGTCATCATTAGTGGAGTCCCGTCACAAGCGGCAAACACGCCGAAGCTCGATTTGCGTACTCCGCAAAGTGGCAGACGCGCGCGGCTTGACACCGCGCGCGTCAGGGATGCTGGGGCTTTGAACACCACAAATATAATGCTGTGGTATTGAACAACAATTATTTTTGAAGGGCAAAAATAGGGCGTAGAAAAGGCCGAAGCGTGGTGAGCACACTTATTGAAGGGAGTTCGCTGCACTGCACCCGATTTAGCGAGATTGCTTAAGCGATCATCTCAAATAATTGACACCTCTACGAATTCTTTTTACTTGGATACATATTTCTTGAACTTAGATATAGTATGCCTTCCCTAATGAATATTACACTTCAGCCCTGATGTGTTATGAGACCCTTTCAGTCCTTCAAATCCTTTCAACCCGTCAAACCGCCCAGACGTTCAACACTTTAGACAAACGAATGAGTGCTAATTCTAGATGAAAATGAAGTTTAGAATGTAAATGAAAGTTTATTTTAGAGGTTACGTTTGACATGCTTGTTGCAACTCAAAACTACGATAAGAACCAAAAAAGATAGGATTAAATAAAAACAATCAAGTTCACCATTTTTGAGACCACCTGAGACTGGATGGAAGAAACACGACGACGTCTCAAACACAGCTAACCACTTTATTCAGTTCTTCCTCCTTTTATACAACCTGAACCCAAAATCGTCACCATGAAAAACACTCCAAACAAAGGCACCAAGGGGACACCTCTTGACTTCGCAGCCACGATAATCTTAAAAAATAATAACGAACCACTTTGAACTAGCAAAAGCTACACAAAAGCTCCACCCAGTCTCAGGTGGTCTAAAAAAAAAAAGGTAAACTTACACCAGCCCGTGTTCGCCCCAACTGTTTTTTTCATTTATCAAGTTCGTTGTCAAAAAAAATATATATTTCGAAGTGGTCCCAACCAGGATACATAACAACTAAATAAAAAATTAAAAAAAAAACAAAAAAAACAACACCGCATCAGTTTAGAAGACGCTTCGCGCGCATAATCGTGACAGGGTAGTAAAACTTGAAGGCGAATTTAGATTGAAGCTACGGCGAACTCGAGATCTAGGCATCACACAGCATAATCTTAAGTAAAACCTTTGGAACAACTTACATGAACTCCACAGCTTTTGAAACAAACAGCGCAGGGGATAGAAATAAGCTGTAGTAAAGTGGTAATTTCAGCTAGTTGGTACATCACTGATTTTAAACAGCGCACAAAAAGTTGGCGGAAGAGAAAAGGACAGTAGAACGAAAGAGCGCTGACTCCCAACTGATTTATTTAGAAAGAAGTGAAAAGAAGGAAAAAGAAGAAACGAAAATTGAACCCCCACGCGAAGTGAAGACAAGATAAAAGAAACAAAAAAACGAAGAAGAAAAGGAAAAAAAAATATGCAAAGCTTAAAAGAAACAAAGAAAATGAAGAAGAAGAAAAAGGAAGAAATTAGAAAATTAGATTACGGTACTTTCACCCTTGGCAACCTTGACAACCGTTTACGAGCCGTATGCCACAAGAGGCACAAGAACAAGTTCGTTACCCGCACGGACGGTGTGGTATACAAGATCCCTCTGACCTGTGGTAGATGCTATATAGGACAGACTGAGCGATGTGTCAACGACAGCCTTAGAGAACAATTTTATTCACTTCAAGCCACGGTAGGCGGACACTTGCCTACACACTGTCGCTCCTGCCAGTGCACACCGACTTTTGGTGAAACAACTGTTTTTGGGAGATTTCAAGTCCGGATTACTCGAGAGATCTACGAGGCTTTTGAAATTCAAAAACTAGTACAGCAATGCGTCAGTCAACCGTCCCTGTCGCTGAGTGCTAAGGAGGTGTCTTTTTTGGCCAACGCCTAAGCGCAGCAACTCTGGCCGGCCAAGGGTGAAAGCATCGTTATCTAATTTTCTAATTTCTTCCTTTTCTTCTTCTTCGTTTTCTTTGTTTCTTTTAACCGGTATATATTTTTTTCTTTTCTGCTTCGTTTTTTCTTTGACTCTTTTATCTTGTGTTCACTTTACGTGGGGTTCAATTTTCGTGGCTTCTTTTTCCTTCTTTTCACTTCTTTCTAAATAAATCAGTTGGGAGTCAGCGCTCTTTCGTTCTACTGTCCTTTTCTCTTCCGCCGACTTTTTGTGCGCTGTTTAAAATCAGGGATAGAAACGACACGCCCTTCCGAGCCACGTACTGGACATCAGCCCAGATTTTCCGCGCATGAAGAGGACACCCGGAAGGTGAGGCACTCGGTGAACTTCGTCTGCTCTGCGGAATGGAACGGAGCGGGTGTCCGTAACCGACGGAGCCGACCGTGGTTAGCTGCGCCAGGTCCACTCGAGACGGAGCTTGCGTCGGCGAGATTGTGCTCCGTGGGCTAGCGGCGACTCCGCTGGCGCC